TTCGATAAACAATTGCGATTCTCAATTATACAAATGAATTACTCAATTCTATTAAATATTAAAGCACAAAATTAACTTTTTTTGATGAACTGAAATTTTGAGTAAAATACTCACTTCTGTATGACTTAGATCAGTAAATGGTTCAACAGCGTAACTAAAAACTTCCCATAATAAAACTCCAAACGACCAAACATCAGTATCTGTATGAAATTTTCCGTCTAAAATTGATTCAAGAGGTAACCATTTTATCGGCAAACATTCATTGGAAGTAGAGATAAAATCAACACCAGGTTGAATTGGTCTACACATTGAAAAATCCGATAATTTGATAATTAATTTTTTTCCAACAAGAAAACTTCTTGTAGCTATATCTCTGTTTAGAATTTGTAAGTGATGAAAAATTTAGTAATAAAAAATAAAAATAAGATTTCTTAGAAGTAAAATTTATAAGGATTACTTCTTAAGAAGGTAAAAATATACAAGTTAATATAATTTGAAAATAAATATGTTTTTGTCATATCCTAATGAGTAGAAAAATTGTATTTCTGACGTTTCGTTACTTCTTCAGAGTAAAGGAGTAGCTTACTATAAGTCACGAAACGTCGGAAATACAATTTTTCTACTCATTAGGATATAACAAAAATATAATTATCAATAACTCACTATCCAATGCTTAGTTTATTAATATAATTTGATTAATAAAAGATATACAAATGGCATATTCACAATACAAAAATAAATAAATACATTAATTTTATCAGTTGCCTTACTGATAAATGAAAATAGTGAGTTTAACATCATTAAAATGTAATTTAAAGATATTTTAAATTTGTTAAACTTTTATCATAATATAAACCAGTATATGAAATATTTTAGGTTTAAACCAGGTAAACTGATAATTGTAGGGGGTTCTAAAAAATCAATTAAATGATATTAAGTCGTGTTTCTAAGGTGTTCATAAACTTTATATTTCAAAAGAAAATTTACAGGTCATTCAATATCATTTTACTTATCTAGAACATTATTTAGGTTTAATGATCATTTGACTTTAATCTAACTGAGCTTTTTTAAGATGAACTTTCTTTGTCTTTTAGTATGTTTTTAGTAAAAATTTTATTATCAGTTTACTAATTACAACACTAGTCAATAAACCTTTAAAGATTTTTCATCTATGTTAAAAAGGTTTTTATATAACAAGTTTGTATATTCGAGACAAATTGATTACATTTGTTCATAACAGAAGAGTTGTGTATAAGAACCCAGATAAATGGTTAGTTAGATTTTTTCAATTCTTAATACTTGTTGGACATATCCGATGAATAAACTCTTTGATAAAACTGATCAGTGGAAAACAACTTTTACGAGGTGCTTTTTAATTTCAATAATCTATGAATACAAAAATGCTTGGAAAATAATAAGCTAAATCTACAAATGTTAGTTTGTTTTAAATAATTAGTGGGAAATAATAATTTACTAGTTAAGTCAAAGTAAAATCACTGATTTTTCGAAGAGTCAACAAACTTGTTGTAGAAGTTTATAAACAGAGAAAATGTTGCACAGTATTTAATCACTTAGATATTGATTAACTCAAATAATCAGCCATGAACTTACGGTAAAGCTAATTTTAATTAGTACAAACTATATGTGATCATCTACATTCACTCAAAATTACTACAGTGTATGTAATATAAAATAACATGATATATATTTATTCATTTAGTTTCTATGCTCAAATTATTCTAATTTCTAGAAAAAAACGAGGACAAAAAGTATAAAACTTAGTGTAATGTGTATGTAAAAAATTAAGATTAAATTTGAATGTAGAAAAGAGTATGGCTCCTCATAATTATATGATAAAGCGGTAGGTTAATGCTTTAAAATATTCCATTTTTTTAATTATTATGTTTAAGGTTCGGATCCAGGTTCTTTTGTTTTGGTACACACAACCGAGCAATTTAATTATTCTTCATAAAAAGTACTGCTAAAGACCAAGTAAACTTGATTACACTTTTCTAGTAAATGAATTAATTACGAATTGATACAGGAACAATCACTGTATTATTAAACGGTACTTAAGAAAGCCAGTACACATGAGCATACATGTACATGAAACTAAGTAGAATAGGAATACTTGTTTTAGTTAGAGATATCATAACTGTTTGTAAACGACTATCCAAACAGAGACTAATTTCAAGAATGAGAGGAATGAGTTAACGCCATTTAAGAAAGTTGCTAGTTTAAAAAAAAGTATCTGTAATGCAGAAAACAGTGCATACAAAAGTACTTGAGGAGTAATGTCAAACCTAATTTCATATGTATTTTAAATATAACAAATTATTTTATCAATAATACACTGTTTAAGAAGAAAAATATTGAGATGATAGATACAGTGTGAATTTATGTAGTAAAGAAACACCTGAATTGATATAACTAATTCAATTAAACCATTAAAAATGGAAAGGAAAGAAATGAAATCGTCAATTTAAAAAAATAATAAAAAGGCGTCAACTTTATTTTTATGAATACACGATTACATTTCAAATATATCATAAATGACATCAGGAATGATTTCATTATAGTCAAATAATATTCTATAGTCCTATCAAACTAAGCCTTTGTTAACTACCAATAGATCAATTATAACTGTTAGTATACAATTTTGTTTAGAAAATACATGAAGTGAACTAATGAAAATGTTAGTTACGGACGACCATCAACTTTAAGCACTAATAATAATATTGGACCTTTGTAGTCTCAATGTGTTTCTGATCACTGAATCACTGTCTAGATGACTGATGATGAACTTATTTCGGGAAAATCCTCTACGCACACAACAATAGTAAAGCATTTCAGGTAAAGAATATTGTGCACAAAAACTGTATTAAAGTTCCTGACACATGATCAAAGTCTGGGAAGAATGCAATCATTACTTGACTAATATGAAATTGAGCTGAATATAGCTGAAAATGGACGATAAAAAGTGAAACAGCGACGCAGCTGACGAGATCGACTTCTAGATATTTTAGCAGAGGATAAACATCAGATATGTAAGCAGAGATGGATAGTGGCTAGTAGTGGAATCCAGGACGCGCGTTTCGTCCTATTTGGGACTCGTCAGCTGGATGTACCTGCATCTCAGAGTTGATGTTCACTCTGGGACTCGAACCCAGTACCCTCGCTTCAAACGCTATCGCGTTATCCACTCGGCCACTGAGTCCTGATAGCCACTTGCTTGTGCGATGGGGTGAAGTTTAAATTCACTTAGTATTGTTTGTTTGGATCTTCCCATCGATGTGTTTAGGACTGCAACTGGTCAGTCTCTAGTTGGCATATGTGATTACTGTGCGTATTGCCTCGATATACCTCAATTCACAAGCATGGTAAGCAGAGATGGATAGTGGCTAGCAGTGGAATCCAGGACGCGCGTTTCGTCCTATTTGGGACCCATCGCACAAGCAAGTGGCTATCAGGACTCAGTGGCCGAGTGGATAACGCGATGGCGTTTGAAGCGAGGGTACTGGGTTCGAGTCCCAGAGTGAACATCAACTCTGAGATGCAGGTACATCCGGTTGACGAGTCCCAAATAGGACGAAACGCGCGTCCTGGATTCCACTACTAGCCACTATCCATCTCTGCTTACCATGCTTGTGAATTAAGGTATATCGAGGCAATACGCACAGTATGCACATATGCCAATTAGAGACTGACCAGTTGCAGTCCTAAACACATCGATGGGAAGATCCAAACAAACAATACTAAGTGAATCAGATATGTATTTTCACAAACAGGAGGTATTCTGAATGATATGAGAATAATTCACGCCGTTTTTATGATCACAGTCCCTGTATTTATTGGACAGACTAAGTACACCAACCGTACAAATAATATTATACTTACAAGTATTTAACAAACCCAGTTAAGTTATTCACGTTACTTTTCAAAAATTCAATACTTCAATGTAGTCAGTAAGTAAAATCAAATAGGATACTATAAACAGGTATGAAGTAGAAGAGAATATAAAACCATAGATAAAAATTTTCTGAAATCAACTTGAATATTTACTCAAAAGGTTTGAAATCTGCATGGTTAGAGAAGAAATCTCATATTTTAAGTTTATCTATCAAAATTGCGAAATATAAATTCATTACTGTACTGAAATTAGTAAACAAGTAACTTTATTAAAAATTGAAAATAGTGTGTTTTCGAGGTGATAGACACGGGAATGCAAATGAAAGTACTTGGAGTCACAAAATTGTCAGTATTTTAGAAATCACCAACGAACAACAAACATACATAAACAACGGTAATAAGAGGCCTCTGAAACACTATAAGAGAACATAGTTTATTATAAAAAAAGGACTCTAACAATGTCACCAATTTTGACATTGCGTTTTATGTAGATTTCAGAAGACAATTCATGGAGCGTTAAGATATCAACTGAATGTGAATTTTGAGAAAAACTCATGGTACGGGTAGAGAGGTTACCAAAACGGTATCGTTTCTTGAGAGAAAATCCCTGATAACCCTATAGTATGATGAATATGAAAAATTGGTGTATGGATGTAATAAACAGAAATTATTTAAGACAATACTTGATAATTGTTTAACAGTCCTTAACTCGGGAAGACATGATATACATCCTGATGAAAGCTAATGAATTCACATAGTTTTATTTACCTAAAAGTCAGTTTCTGGATAAATTACGTGTATCCGTAAAATAGAAATCATCATATATAAGTAAATTATTATTATTAACAGATGCAACAGCAAAACATGTAGTTCAAATGATCCTATACATTCAATATTGAAAAAAGCATATAAATGTCACGAGATAAAAATAATGCATATACACTAATTTATACATCCTCATAGATTATGAGCAAATTATAATTGAAATGAGAGTCATCCCCTTAAATCTAATTTCTAATCGATTACTTTCACAACAACAAAAAATACCATTTCATTGATTCATTATTTTATTCACACTGTAAATTTAAAATAGATAGAAAACAATAACAAATATTCAATTAACATAAAAACATGAATTATAGTGCTGATAAAAATACAAAACAAATGATAGAAATAGACTCGTATCTTTTTGTTTTCTAGAGGTTAGGGATAAACGAAATTTAATTTTCTACTAATTTTCTTCCTATGTAGATTTATGACATTAGAGAAGATATATTAAACCCGTTTAATGAAACGCTTACAACTTCATTACAGTTTCAAATAGTGCAAGAAGGAAAGGTGAATAATAAATAAATGAATAAATAAAAAGAATTAGCATAAGCTTACAGGTAAACAACGTAAATAATACCAGGAGATAGGGTAGAAAAAGAAGGAAACACCAGTACCTTTCAAGAGAGAGACACATTGTACAAATACACGGCAGGATCCACAATTTCGCACGGTTACTTACTTCCAATTAAACAAAAATCTTTGTTAATAACTTTAACTATTTGTTTTTTAGACAACCAGTTGGTCGGTCGTTTAAAGAAAAACATGATTTAATTCTGCCTAAAAACACATATTTGAATAAAAGGGAACAAATGGAGCGAAGAAATTTCTTTTCAACTAGTTTTTCATAATGGCTCTGCACTAATATATATATATATATACATAAGCCGACCAGTGGTACTAGTTCACGAAGTTACTGGTTGTTGGACTAAGCAGTACAATTAGGTGCTGTGTAACTGGTTGAGGTTCTCGAGAGCAGCAGTTGGAAATGCTGAATGTTATGTCTGAGAACCTTTCTTAATGGCGTAGATACATCCACTCTTTGTTTCTCTCTAGATTTTAAACTTTAAGAAAAATCATTTTTACACTTTATTTCCGCGAACTCTTCCTTTTCCAATCATATTGTCAATGCCCAATGTTTTTTTATTACCATTGGTACCATTACTAGCCTTACTATTGATAATTTTATCCTGCTAAGTTGCTTTTTAATGGCTACTTGAACCAATGCATGTATACTTTACAGGTTCTACATTGCTTATGATCAACAGAATAAATGAAGTCATTTAGGAGCATTCCTAAATCTTGCATATCATACTGTTTTATACCTGTCATTATTCCCTTATTTATTGTCGTATGCTACTACTTTACCAAAGCTGTAATTAATATGTAACTAGTTATATTCGATTATAATGGCATTTACCTTTAATCAGTTGTCTACAAATTATCTAAATGAATCTTTTTATTTAAAAGTATAGACTAGACAAATCAGTAATTTTATTCATTCAAAATATCCGTCTAGGTTTTAACCTTTATCATACACAAATTCCTTTAGCTATATTTACGTAACAATTCATTTTATTATTTTGTTTTTCTCACTTTTTTTGTTAACATTTTACGAACTAATTGTTTTATTCCAGTGAAGCTATCATCTTAATGACCTCGACAAAAAATGTGACCAGTTCATTATCCACAAAAGTTCACATTATTTCCACTGATTACAACTCAAATTTCTTTTTGTGAAATTGGTCATTTTTCATATATCATTACTTAATTACTTGTAGTCTATAGATTGTATTCGTTACACACAGGTCTCATTTGTATAATTACTACAAACCACGACGTTCTGGAAAGCTGTTTCATCATAGTATGGGGTTCTTCAGGAGTATGAATCCACGATCCCACCAAAGGTTACGTCTGAGAATTAAAGGTCTCGTTGAGATTATCAAACCATCAGAACAATTCTGGCGAATTCGTGAATGATAGAGTATAGATATATCAGAAGTAAAACAGTTGTTTACTACTATTATCCCTCATAATAAAATCATTCACATTGCACACATGTGATAGGTAGCAAAACAGACTAGAATTCAATGGGAATGCAATATGAATGAAGATTTAGAAAAGACACTCTATCACCGGATAGTTAACATTACAATCTTTTCAAAAGTTATAAAGTTAACTGTCTCCAAAGTTTTCATAGACTAACAAGTATTTGTTAACATTGTTTCTTCCAGTATTCATCGTCAAGATCTTAAATTATAAAATAAAATATGCATTTACATGATAATAACCCCAGAGGAATTTGAGAAGTAATAAATACCTTTTTATCTCTGTTCTAAGATAAAATTCACTCTACAAAACTTGTTTTACAGAACCTAATTATTATCTGATTTGACAAGATTTGTATATTCAAACTAAAAAACTGAAAGGAACACACGGTAGTTAAAAGAAAAAACAAACCTTGCATAATATTTCTTTAATGAAATCTATGAGAATCATGATTAATCTTATGTAAAACTTTCTGTTTATTTTTTTAAAGTAGTCATCACATTAACAACGCGATATAACATGTACCATAATTGATTAGTAAAACAACAGAGTGGAATGTTTGTTTATTAACGATGGCTTGGGTGAATGAAGATGTCACCACTTTTTTAATAAAAGATAAGTTTCATCACATAGCAACAAAAGTTATTTTACTACATTGAGAGTTTTAGCTATCCTGAGTCAACAATGAAAGAAAATATCATACATGCTATTGCTTCATCACATGTAAAATATATCCTGCATGTAACTTAAAGTACCATTCCGATACGCTTTACATAGGCGTCTAATTTCTTTTTCATTTCAAAGGAGAAATTATTTAGACGGGCCATACAATAAGTTTATAATAATAAAAACACTGGATAATTTCTTAATCTTTAAAAAATTTGCTTCAGACAAACTTATCGTTTGTCAACTTTTCTGCTTTTCATATCAATTTTTTTAATTACACATAGAAAAGAAACTATCCTTGTGTTTTACTGCCACTATTACATAGAAAACAATAAAAGAATGGCAGATTAATTACTCCCTCAGATCTAATTTGATAATAGTTTCGTAGTCTAATTACCGAAACTTTCAAATTATAATCGATAAACTCTTAACAAGAAATTTAATGCTTAACTGAATTCTAATTATCATAACATGAGAACAGACTCACCTATGTACATAATGCATTTCACTTAAATAAACCATAGCTTCACAAGCATCAATGACCATTTCAGTAAGCATTTTTACATTCAATTTGGTAGGACATTGATCAGTGAAATCCTTTTTAGAAACTGCCGTAGTCTGTGACAAGGTTTGACTATATGCGTTTACTATTTCCCCGTTGGCTGTGCCTACAAAGCAATCTACAATGAGAAATAAGTAGAAAATATACTTACTGTATCCTGGTGATTCACTGTCGTAGCGGCGTAAAAATGAATAGAAATCACCAAAAGGCATGTATTCAATAAGGAGTGAAAGTGGTTCCAGTGGAATACAAACGCCTACAATCAAATTACAAATAAATGAATAGGGATTAAAACTGACAAAAACATACGAGAAAAAAACATTTCATTTAATAAAATTTATCCAGAATGAAAATGATTGAGAGTCACGGCAAAATAAATATACATTTGTGCCAAATTAATTTTGATTTGACTGAAGAAATGAATTAAGACAATTAACAGTGAATTAATTAAAGTACTCATTAGTTGTCAATATTCACAAAATAATATATTGTAATCACAAGAGTAAAACCGTGTAATTGTAATGTTATCCCTAATTGATTCTTCAGTTTAATTTAGAAAATTAGTAGACTGACAAAAATAAGAAAGCAATTAAAAAGTGAAACGGTCCGATAATCATCAAATGTAAATTTGAAAAAAAGTTACAAGATCTATTATCATATATAAAAGTGAATTGGATTGAACAGTTTTATAATACCTAACAATTGAATAATATTTCTATGCTGTAATTCAACCAATATTTCAGCTTCACGAAGGAAGTTGGCTTCAGCTTTCAGATTAGCACCTCCTTGAATCATTTTCAGTACAGCAATACAATCACTTGACTCGTCGGAAGATGATTGGACTGAAAGCAAAATGTAAAGAATTATATATATATATATATATATATATATATATATATATATATATATATATATATATATATATATTAAAAGATAAAGTCTACAAGTATGTAATCGTTAAAACTGTGACCATTACAAATATTTAATAATCGAATTGACGGAAGAAAATTATTTAAAGTATTAATAACCTAGTAAGCATGCAACATTCATTATTGTTAGATATAATGACATTAAATAAAACATTATTATGATATTGATATTCTAATTCAAAGATGAGTGAAAAACTACATTTTACATTGAGTTGAAAATTTCTATTAAATAAAAAACAAAGGCTGACAACTACATACTTTTATTTTATTACGTTGACCTTCAATCAAAAAAAAAATTCTAGCAGATTGGTCCCACCAAAATCCCAGGGTATACGTGTAGTAGTTTAGTGGTTAAAGTGTTTGACTTTCAACTACTAATTCACATGTTCTAACCCCACTCTACCTACTACAAATTGTGTAACGACGCATTGTTATTGGCCTTCATGCTTAGAGTGTGGCTCATATCCAGGATCATGGTAAATGAGTTCATTTAAACTTTATAAATAATATGATGTATACAAGTGATAGAAGACTAGGTTATACACACATCAAATATAATAAATTACATTAAGTTTACACTTAGATAATACATACTACCTAAAAAACGGACTGTGATTTTATGCTCAAAAATACATCTACAGTGCTAAAACGTGTAAATTGAAAACATTGACGCTGATTTATAATAATTCATCTAACAAGTACAAGTTTGCTTATTCAACATTCAACTTCACGATGCTTGTGAGAGCATAACATGATAATTAGATTGACGTTGCAAAATCCGACTCTTCAACTCTGATGACTGAAAGTTAAGCGCTTTGGGCATCAATCTATCGATCCAAGAACATTCACGGTCGACAAAGACTTTCGTCAAAATCTAAACGAATAGTTTCAAAATAGTTGGATCCCGAATGTATAGAAGATAATAAAAAGGAAATCACACTTGTAAAACCACAACGATTGAAATTAAAAGCAACTCTAATGTACCTCTCACCAGTCTGGCACGAGCTTTTTAAATATCTAAACATGATTGAATAATAGTTTAGTAAACAGATATCTTGTGAACACTATCTACATTTGATAATCTTAATGTTTGACTATTTCCCTGCAGACACATATGCCAGACTCCCAAGTGAAATGTTATTTTTGTTTTCAATCGCCGTCACTTTTATAGATATAATCTCTTTTCTAATCTTCACTGAAGACTACATGAAACCGAAGACAGGAAAGCAACTTAAGTGATTAGCTCGAGTTATTTTAATATTATATCTCTTAATTGATAATTGTAATATGATACAAGTGAGTTGTTAATAGCAAGGATTCATTCAACAGGTTAACAAAAAATAAATGCAAGCACCATAAAGGTGACTAATATATATATATATATATATATATATATATATATATATATATATATATATAATCAATTCCTAGTAGGCAATATTTTACTTACAATGCAAAGTGAACATGTTCATACAAGAGATAATAAGCGATATGACAACAACAACAATCACTATGGTTGAATACTATCAACTTATGAAAAAAAGAACACCTAGAAAGTAACTTTCTAAAAATGTTGAATAATGTTTTTTAAGTGTGTCATAAATCCATTTACATACACATATACCTTATTTTCAGAGTATGTTAGTTAACTAACATGAAATTAGGTTTTAAATTGAGACAATATTTTACACTTAAATAGAGACAAAAATAGCGAATAAGACAAGAAAACAATCCAAGATTTTACTATCTTCAGTCAGTCAGTCAGTCAGTTACAACGTAGAACTTCGTACGTACGTACATCAGTTCGAGTTGCCATACCACATTAGCACAGAGATGAAGTTGTCGATTCAAATCCCATATTGGTAGAAGTAGTAAGAGTATAAGCATTATTTGAAAGATAAGGGTTTGAAGATGTTATTGAAGGAGTATAATCCAGTGAAATAAATTTGGAAAGAGAAAAAGGATACGGACATGAAGAATTCAGAAGATTAGAATTTGGTAGAACACAAAGAGTGGATGCACCTTCGCCATTGCAAACGATTTTGAGCCATGTCATTCAAGGTCTCTAACCATCGGTTGCTATCATCTCACGAATCCCAACCAAGTAGTCTACACCTATCAACATGGCCCAGTCCACTTGTCAGCGACTTCATGGATTTATGCCATGTTTTGGTCTGGCCGCCCCTACCTTTCTTCCAACCTGCTCCTACACCATAAAGCATTGCACGTCGGGGCAGTCGGTGGTTGGGCATACGTAACACATGTCCCAGCTATCTCAACTGATGGAATTTCAGTACTTCATCAATCCATTTGCCATCCTTACCTAGTACCTGTTTCCTAACAACTGCATTACCCGGTGGTCCCAGGATATACGAGCAATGCTTCGAAGACACCTATGATCGAAGACTAGTAGCCTACGAATATCCTCTACTCTTATCGGCCATGTTTCACTGCCATAGAGTAGGACGGAGCGAACTGCTGCACAGTAAACCCGTCCTTTGGTTGCTAGACGGATATCTCGCCTACGCCATAAATGACGCAAGTTGGCGAAAGCTAGACGAGCCTTCTGTATCCGTGCTGAGATTTCGTCACACACCAGACCACAAGGGCTGATGAGACTCCCAAGATAAGTGAAGTGGTCTACACGCTCAACTACTTCACTCCCTATCATTAGTTCAGGTGTCGATGCAACCCAATCCTGAAGTAACATTTTGCATTTCGAAGGAGAGAATCGCATCCCAAACATGCCTGCATTGTTACTTATATTGGTCAGAAGACTCTGCATTTTGTCAGCATCTTCACCGAATAAAACTATGTCGTCGGCGTATTCTAAGTCAACGAGTGAGCCTCCCGGTAAAAGTTCAACTCCTGGAGGTCTAGGTGATGAAAGTGTTATCTCTAAAAGTATGTCAACGACAAAGTTAAACAAGAATGAGGAGAGTGGACAGCTCTGACGAACACCACTCGAGGTAACCAATTCTGATGACAGTTCGCATAGGCTCTAACTCGACCAGTTGTGTTCGAGTAGAGAGCCTTTATGAGGTTAATGTACTTCTTTGGTACTCCTTTCACTGACAAACACAGCCATAGAACCTCACGATCAACAGAGTCAAATGCCACCTTAAGGTCAAGAAATACTAATATTTTGGGACGTCTGAATGTATGTCTATGTTCTAGGATCTGACGTAGAGTGAATATTTGGTCTATGCAACCACGTCCAGGTCGAAAACCAGCCTGGTTTTCTCTAGTCTGCTCTTCACGAGCTTTGGTTAGGCGTCCAAGTATTATTGAAGCTAATATTTTAGACACTATATTAGTCAAACTGATCCCTCTGTGATTGTCACAGAAGGTCTTTTGTCATTTCTTATAGACTGGCACAATCAGTGATTGGGACCAGTCAGATGGAATTACGTCCAGTTTCCAGATTCTACCTAAGACGTCAGTTAATCTCCCTGCTAGTACTGGACCACCATCCTTAAAAATCTCAGGGGTAAACTTGTCAGGGCCTGCTGCTCTCCCTCGCTTTAGATTTCCTATAGTTTTTTCAACCTCGTAGAGAGTTGGAGGACTTTCATCAATTTGCCATTCAGGACGACTGGGGATCGTGGGTAACTGAAGTGTGGCTGAAGGCCAGTTGAACTGATCCCTAAAGTGTTCTGCCCATCGATCCAATCTCCTGGATTGAGAATGAATGATATGCCTATCTTTGTCTGAGATAGCTTCGCTAATAGCTGGGTTGCTAATGCCGGTTTCTTTAATAAGTCTGAATAGCTGTCTGCTGTTTACTATTGCCGCTGCCTTTTCCATCTCTATTGCTTTCGCTACCCACCACTGTTCACGATCATTGCGTAGGCTTCTTATTAGCCTTCGCTTAAGCTGACTCCGCTCTTCGTTATGTTCAGAGCCAGGTGGGATGAGTTTACGAGCATCTATAAGTGCGGTAGATGTTGCCGAGATCCATTGTTTCTCCCTGACCTTATGGCTTACCTTACTAGCAGATATCACTGCTGTTTCCACAGCTTTTCGGATGTCATTCCACGCTGCTTCGAAGTGGGCACAACTTACATGTCTGCCTAACTGTTTTACCAGTTGTTCCTGAAATATATTGTTAGCTTGCCTATCATTAAGTAGAACCCTTAGAGGCTTCCCTGAAGTGTCTTTCCTACGTCCAGTAAGACGCAAACAGATACGTGTTCGCACTAGAGCATGATCTGAGTCTGAACAAGTGTTCCAGAATGAGCGACAGTTTTCTACCGAGCCCCTCCATCGGTGGCTGATAGCGATGTGATCTAATTGGGTCCAACGTTGGGACGAATTGGATGGGGGTCGCCATGTCAAAAGATGATTTTCCTTATGCTTAAAGTTAGTATTTGCAAGAAATAGGCGGTTATCTGAACACAGCTGCAACAGACGGTCGCCATTATCTGTTCTTTTCGCCATGACACCATAAGATCCACCCAGGTGTCTTTCCCTTTCACTTAGTTTACCTACTTGAGCATTAAAGTCACCTGCTACTATTACAACATCAGAACGCCTAGCTTCTCGGAGAAGGTCAGAAAGTTTCCTGTAGAACTCATCTTTTATATCGTCTGAGCTGCAGTCAGTGGAAGAGTAGGCAGAGACGACGAAGAGGCAACGACGAGTTTCCCTATCTTTCCGAGTCCTTACTGATCCGTTTAGTCGGACAGCGCATAGAAGACTGTCTACTGGGATCCAGTCTAAAAGAGCTAGTTCTGCCCTACGACTTAATGCTATACCTACTCCAGTGAGGCCACGGGAAGCAGCATTAGGGCTTCCAGATACACGAAGCGTGTATCGAGATGAAACTTTATTTTGATTAGGTGAAGTCAAATGAATGACACTACTCGGATCTTGTATGCGTGTTTCGGAGACGCAGCACACATCGATGGTGTAAGATTCTAGAGTCCTAGCTAAGGAAGCCTGTTGTCCTATTTGGCACAATGTTCGGACATTAAAAGTTCCTATATGTAGTTTAGAGCGTGGTTTCAAGAGACCAGGAATAATGTTCCGTGTACTTGATTCGTTTGCCCAAGCGATGCGAGATGATAAAAGGACGTGGGAAGGGTTAGTCGTGGAGATAAGAGAGTTATTAGGAGTAGGAAGGATTTGAAAGTGACCGACTTGGTCTCGTGTGTTGTTACGGGTATGAGGGCTAATATCACTTCCCGGCTGCCCACACCGTGGAAGGGTATTTCTTGAGGGACCTGAAAAAGAAGTTGGATTAGTGTTGGTCTGAACGACCTGGGAGCGTGACCGCAGTGCCCAAGGGACAACTGCTTGAGCCCGGTCACGCACGGTCTTTTTGTGTGGGATTTTAGACGTGTTAGCTCCGTTCTTCAAAGGACCTTACCGCCGGAGACGGATATCCGTGGGATAGGGCAAGGTGTGCATTTTTAGGGTCGACATTTTCTAACCCCACCCCTCCTTGTGGGAAGGCAGCATCGCTGTCATGCTGGTTGTCTGAAGGAAACACCTTACTGCCGTCACACCTCTGTACAGTCGGCAGTACGACTTCGCCTTCGAACCTTGGGATTACTGCTTTTAGTCTTACCGCTCTTCAACCGACCTGTCTGGCATGGTAGTACCTCGAGGATCGATTGTTCCAGCCAGCATAGCTCGATTGGTTCATCACGATAGGCAAGCCCGACCACCACATCAAGGTAGAAGCAACGAGGACCTTTCTACCCTATTTCTATAATCATTCAATGACTTTTTACGTGTATGTAGAATTTCAGTTTTATAACATGCGAAGATTTTTACTATCTTCGCATGTTATAAAACTGAAATTCTACATACACGTAAAAAGTCTTTGAATGATTATAGAAATAGGGTAGAAAGGTCCTCGTTTTAATATAACATACATGTGTAAATTCTCGTAAAAAGGGGCACTAAAATAAATATTCCCCACACAAAATATAAAGATATTATTGTGAACAACCAAAAAAGAGAAAAAAGGAGTACAATCAAGAAACAGAAAAGTGAACAAAAATAGTACATTACAAGACATACATTTTAATTAAAAACACAACCGAGGGAACTTATTTTAGTTAAGGGAGTTCCTCTTAGTTTTATGAAGTATGTTGAAGAAAACTACGACAGGATCGCCAGTGGTTTTAATTCTGAACCATGTATGAAAACTTCCCAAGCCACTGAGTAGTAACATCTCCAGGACTCCGACCGAGAAGTCGTGATGTGCCAACAGACACCAGTCCTAGATAGTGTTTATTTATACCAAGGTTTCATGACAGGTAACTGATAGGAAAATTCCGTTGAAAATCATTCCACAAACTTATTGCAAACAATAATCTATCTGAGTTGTAGCTAAAATTCATCCATAAGAAGGATTTACGGGACTTAATGAAGAACATATCCTTCCCACAGATGAATTCGCTATTGCATATTAGAAATAATTTATCTCTTACGAACAATATCGTGAATCCATGTTTTAACTGGAAAACAGTATTAATGGTCATTACGTGAATTATCAAAGGTCAGTTGTATATGTTTTAATGATGAGACAGACGAGATTGGTACAACTCCTGGCATAAATGCTGCATCATTACTGAGAAGGTCCGCGATAATAGTGTAATTTCACGAAAAATGTGCCACCTAAGCTAATGAACAATCTACTGTAGATTTCTTTTGCTTACAAAAATTTCGAAACAACTACGGCCTCACCAACGGAGTATGATTTGTATATTTTATAGAAACTAAAAGTTGCTTCCATTTACTTATAGAATACTTAACAATTACAATTGAAAAATAGACGTTGGAATGATTTTAGACTTTCCCAATGAGAGGCTAGTTGTTGGTAGGTAAAAAATAGCTCGCATTACATTTTTAAAGAAAGAAATGTTAATCCACAGTACAAAGAGATTAATTTCTAAATAAACTACGATGAAACAGCAAATGTCCATCACTAACATCAGGATCACATGTTCAATAAGTGTTAAAGGTTGGTTGGCCAAAAGTTGAAAATTTATCTAATTAGTTTGTTATGATGGAACTATAATTTTTAAACGTCATTTCATTTAATGGGTATAGGTTTATGCACTTGATTTGAGGCAATAAGTTTTTGCGTGAAGGAGATATCTACATGAACAACAGTTGCCTAAAACACAATAGATAAATGTGAACTGTATCGAGGATTCAATACTTATCAGTCAAATGTATTGACAATTTAGCCAGTAATGCAAACCATTATTAGTGTTCTTAATACTTGTTAAAACCAAGTAAATATGTGAAGTAATTAAATCGATCGGATAATTGTTGAGGTACTTTCAATTGACATAAAAGCAGTTGTAAATCAAAAAAATTGAAAAAGATTTTCAAAAATTCTATACCGTCAATAATATTTTCTTTTTCTTGTGAACTAGAAGAGACAAGACCCAGTCTTTCTGAAGTTGTTAAACTTAACAAACGTCTTCTATGGACTAGTTTATTCAAATTTGGAGCATGTACTAAGATGATCCAACCAAATGCACGTTTAGCTAAACAACATATTTCAACCAGACGATTGCGAGGATAGCACAGTGATTTAAATCTAGAACAGAGATTTCAAAATAACTGTAAATTATGTTATTAATTTAAACAATGATTACTGCAGAAAAATGTAGGCATATTCTACTTGAAAGGGTTGATATGATGAATTACAGTAACAGACGGTAAAGCCCGCCTTTTTTAGCGATTAGAACCCAATTATAGAACAAGGACTAATGCATGATTGAGCAATTGAATTATTTATTCTATCACTCATGATCAGATTACTTTGATGACAAATCATAAAAGAACGTGATCACCATCTTTATATAATATTACATTATGAGTATATATGAATAAAAAACTAAGTAGACACAAAGATTTCTCAATCTGTAAACGAATAAATTATCTTAAGCAACCAACACTTACTTTGGATGTAGCAAGTGATTCATCGAGGCCACATTAAATAACTTTTCCGGTAATATAGCAGAACCTAATTCAGCAGACCCAGATGAGAGTGAATAATAGGATGACTCAATCAAGCCAAGAGTAGTTGGAGAAAACTCTGAATCAATCTCATGATCATCAATCAACACGTGATTATTTGAGCAAGAGTCACCACTGACAGGATGATTTGTAGTTACTGCAGATGAAATACCAGTTTGTTTATTTTGAGTATAACGACAAGATGAACATGTATCGGATAAAAGATTGCTAGCAACTCCACAGCTCACACAGATATTTGGTAAAGAGTCGATTGTTTTAGGAGGCGAGATAATTGTAGGCACATTGGTTACATAAACTATTGACTTATTCATTCGCATTCCCAATGTATTAGCCTCAAATTCCTCATCAATCAATTCATTTTTAGCTACAGAACAACTATATACAGATTTGATCATTTTGAGAGAATCATGTTTGGATTTCTTGCGAAAATTAGATAAATAGAAACATGGGCATAAGGATGATAAATAACGACTACGCCATACATCAGTCACAACATTTTGATTAGGTATTGAGGACATGCTTTTATCATCAGTATATTGTGTAACAGCAAAAACTGAATGAGATTGATTAGTTGTATGAGATGAATGTGTGAAGTCAACAATATGATAATATGTTCCAAAAATACATTGCAAACATGGATTAAGTTGTCTAAGTCTACGTCGACGAGTTAATAATTTTCTACGTCGCTCCAAATATTTTTCTTTGTTGATTTCTGTAGAATCATAAAGATGCTCAGAAAATTGTCTACTATCATCAATTTCTTCGTTAACACTATTTACATCTCCTGTAATTTGAGGCTTGTTAAAATCTAATTGAGAAAAGTGTATATCCGAATTTTCAATATTTTTTCTTGAACAACGATTTATGAGCCAAATTATGCAACCGATAATTAATAAACAAAGAATCAGTCCAACAACTGAACAAGCGATAATTGTCTAAACAATAGTTTGTCAAATAAAATTCATATGTTACAATTAAAATTAAAGCACACAGACATTTCGAAACAGTATACAAAAAAATGATTTCAGTAACAATTCTCGTAATGATAAGCCTTCAGAACATCACGGTTTGGCATTGTTAGATATAAGAACAGGAATCCGTTGATCAAATACACTAGTAAGGCTTTTATATTCTTACAACAGTAATGGAATTTTAGAAATGCACACAAAACATCAGTCTTACCCACTGCATTTTGTGTAATACAGAACGATAACTTGTTTCATTACATTTTCTTCACCAAATTGTTAAAATTTATCTTGAATCAACTACAGATCATTTTCTGTTATCAATATATTGAAGAACACTGAGATGGCAGTGAGCACACCTGGTTATTTTTTAAAATAGTGATCATTTTAAGTTTTTTTCTTCAAAAGACTTGATGTATTTCGATAACTCCATGTATATATCACAAAATAAACGCAATACTATATATTCACTGACTATTACTGGGCTAAAATTCAGTCATTTATTCATAACCTTAATTAATTCACTTTTAAGTTATAACAATGGCCACATAAATGGGGATTTGAAAGAAAGATATCGTGAATATATCACACAAAATGGTGAATTTTCCAAGTTTAAAAATTCCAAATCAATTTTTGGACTTCTACTGATAGAATGATAGATATATATATCATTTTACTATGAAAATGAAGTACGGCGGTGGGAATACCAACCACAACAAACTAAACAAAAATATCTATTTAATTTGATGATGGGTAAGAACCACTGGATATGATTTTGCTTTCAGCTAGTTGAAATTTAAAGGTGAATCGAACATTTCATGTGGATATTTAGATCTTTCAATGATTATATATATATATATATGAGAAATGAGTAAACTCCTAAAGATTACCAGGAAAAAGGAGAACAAGGTACATAGAGAGAACGGAAGACATACACATCAGAGCACTATGTTATGGATATGTCTATAAATATACATGCAGGTACATGCAGCACACAATCAGAAAATTTAACTGTTCTGTACAAGTTACAAGAAAGACCTCCGATAAGCAGAGATGGATAGTGGCTAGCAGTGGAATCCAGGACGCGCGTTTCGTCCTATTTGGGACTCGTCAGCTGGATGTACCTGCATCTCATCCAGCTGACGAGTCCCAAATAGGACGAAACGCGCGTCCTGGATTCCACTGCTAGCCACTATCCATCTCTGCTTACCATGCTTGTGAATTAAGGTATATCGAGGCAATACGTACAGTATGCACATATGCCAATTAGAGACTGACCAGTTGCAGTCCTAACACATCGATGGGAAGATCCAAACAAACAATACTAAGTGAATTTAAAGACCTCCGATATTTAAAGTAATAATCGATACAAATTTAAGACGAATACGAATATAAAACACAGGTATTGACGTATATATATTGATGAGAAAAAATGTTTATGTAGTAAATTTATTGATAAAAATGATTAATATTCAGAACATTACTTCCCTCATTAATATCAAATGGTAACAACAATGTTAAGAATGAGAACAGTGAATACATTACATGTACTTTAATTCATCTAATAATCGTAGTATGACTGGACGAGTTTTTCAGTAACAATATGGTGAGATCCACGTTTGCATATATATATATATATATATATATATATATATATATATATGCATCAGTTGAATTATCAACAATTCGTAACAGTAGATCGATAAGAAATTATCAGAATTAGTCGAAATAATAGTTATAATAAAAGCAATACCAATAATAAACAGAGAAAACAGTTACAATATCGAGGAATACGAAATGTAATGATACTAAGCCCTTCACATCTGATCAAAGATAAGGAATAAATACATTGATTTAAATAAATTTCGTCTTGTAAATACACATCACGTTAAATACATAACACAAATCGAACATTTCGAAGGTTCATTTTGCAGTATCTATGAGCCAAAAATGACTTCCTAAATAAAATCCAATTAATTCGATTTTACGGACCAATCATAGGTTTTTCGACATATAAAAACTACTAGGATTCGCCATCCAATTATACAGGGGCATCACGGAGTCCCGTTTAAGTTTTTAAACATAATATAATTAATTTTCTGTAGCAAAAATGATCTGTAACAAAACTAGAATGCATAAATTTCCATTATTCAGTTAATACTTATTTTTCACCGGTTTTAATAGCATACGAGAATAAACAACAGAAACGAAGAGACCTACATATAATTGGAACAGGCTACAAAATTACGGCAATAGACAATCAAGTGGTTAATATAGTGCGAAAAAATAGAGTTACCGAAAGTCTTACCAACAACCAACCTTTCAATACCATGCTTCCCATGCGATAGTCTTAAAATAATTTACTTACTACACAAACTTCAATATCTCTACTCAGTATTTACTTCATCTGTTATTATTAGTCATAACAAAATGAATGGAAAGCTTACATTGAGACTGGATGCAAAACAGTAAACTTATAATATCAGACTTAACTATTTTTGTACAACTAAGTAAATACTTCATTATCAATTTAACCGTTTACTGCTAATCTGAAAATATTTGTTTCTCTGCCTTATCATATTCGCACTTGGGATGATTAAAACACATTGTTTCTACGTTTTTTTGAACAGTTTTCTATTTTGGTAGATTCTTTTTTTTGTGAAAAGTAAACGTTATACATTACAATTTACTTTGGTATTTAGTTAAGGTTATTTGTTATCTTGTTTTTTGACAGCAAAATCAGTGAAGTACGAACAAACTAATTTTGTCAATAACGTTCAATGTCCACGTTGTTCAAATTGACAAAAGGTAATCAATTTGTGAAATAAAAAAAGAAACTGATCAAAAGAGATGAGGGTAAAGCGATTATGTTGATAGTTATAAATGTGTATTAACAAAATATTAAACCACCATTGAAAATCTGAAAGCACTGGACGGCCCTTTAGTCCTAGTATAGGACTACTAAGCAGTGTGCATCTGTAGAGGATTAATTCCTCTATATTTGACTCCAATAAATAAATAATAACCCGTCAACTGAATATCTAATGCAGGCTAAATTTCCTAGTAGAAATTATGGGTTTACTCGAGATTATTCAAAAGCCTGAACACCAATTATAGAGATAGTTTATTGTTGAAGTTTGGTAAAATCCGCAAGCGTACAGATAGCAAGCACACAGGGAAAACTAGTGAGTATGTGCGTGTGTCAATGAGCGTTAAAAATCCATATACATTTGTGAGTGTTAACGGATCGTGGATAAATTATTGATAGTCTTCGTATACAACCAATGAGAGAATGGATTAAATGTCTAAATTACGGAAAACACACAAATAATACAATAGTTCAATGGGCTTGCTACATATTCACATACACGGGATTCGAACCCAGAACATTCGGTCTCGCGCACGAATATTCAGCCTCTAGACCACTGAGTTGGCATCCAACGGTGTTATTGTCTAACTTCAACAAATCCACGAAATTGCGGGACCATCTTCTACTCACTGAGGTAGATACCTGTCTCTACGTGACACGGATTAGCTGGTGGATTGGTTAAAGTTAGACATTAACACCGTTGGATGCCAACTCAGTGGTCTAGAGGCTGAATATTCGCGCGCGAGACCGAATGTTCTGGGTTCGAATCCCGTGTATGGGATCGTGGATGCACACTACTTATGAGTCCCGTACTAGAACGAAAGGGTCGTCTAGTGCTTCCTAGTTTCCGATGGTGGTCTAACATTCATCGATTCATGGTCTCAATCGAAAACTTAACAAACGCCACAACCCCAGGCTGATTATTGACAAGACACACTAAGAGAAACGAGCACCGATAAAAAAGATCTTAATAACCTTTATTTCTGATAAGCAAGATTTATTGAACGATGATATAGCAATTTTCATCTTACAATGTTTCCAAATCAATTACAATGATATTATGACAGCTCATATTTTATTAATGTGAAAACAAACAATCCTTATCTAGGGAAAAGTTCTCTTACGCAATTATACAAATAATGAAATCCGACGAAAAAAGATGTTAAGTAAATTTCTTAAGAAACTAAAATAACGTGATAAATTGTGATTTGTCGTACTATTTATTAACAGAGCCATACGAATGAATCTATATTGTATTTAACTGTTCATAATGAAAAAACCATCATAATGAAAAAAACGTAAATGCTACCGTAAAACATACCTGTAGCTGAGCCTCTGTTATTTCTAGACCTCTAACCGATTCACCACCAAGAGTCCAATTGTGATGATAATCACTGTTGTTGCTCGTCTCTGAACACTGAGGAATTTGATAACAAGAAGTTAAATACCATTTTTCCAAATGATTAGGCTTTGACTTAATAGATATATCTGGAAAAGTTTCTCTATTTTCTTTTCGACTTAAACAGAATGGTCTTGATGCCAAACCAGACGGATTGCGACACACGGCCGACGAACTGGCTTCAAGACCTAAACTTCTAGGAAAAGTGAAACTGTTTAAACTGTAAAAGCCAGGCCAAATACCAGGTTGTAGATTCTGAATATTATCATCGAGAACCAACACATTAGTCCATGGTTTACATTCTGGCATAGTAGCTAAACCTCTGTAATTTTCCCCTTTGCCGTTGATGCAATCAACTAAATAAAACAAGTAATATACAGATGCTTTGAGGATGTAACTTTTTTTATAATAAAAATGAAAAATGGAATAACCTGAATATTTAGCTAGCTCGAAAACAAAAAAGTAAGCATATAATTAAAAGTCATCAATGTATGATATCAATGATTTTCTCTGAAATTCATTTACACTATGTAAGAAGAAGGGACATATAACATTAAAACTATACATACCAACCTACCTAACTCAACGAGAGTGCAGTCATAACGAATAATAAACTTAGGAACAAGGCAACAGAAATTAAAACAATTATTACAAAAAAGAATTTCTTTACAACAAGTACTTTTCAAAATGTGTACATTAAGTGCAATGACTAAAATAAAATACTCTAAACCCCAAATCTCCAAAACAGTATGTCTTAATCCGCACAGATGTAATACAGGCACAGGTGAAAGAATTAACTAGAAAGTAAAATCATAGATTTTATGTGCTGGATTGTCTTTTTAACCGAACTACCAATTCACATTGAAAATTAGGTTACTATTGAGATCGAATCTACATCTCAAGACATGAGTAAGCTTGAAAACTCTCTACAAGCAGCTCCCAGTCAGAGAATATTTCCTAAACGGCCGAAAAAACATGTACACGACAATTCCAAGAGTAATACTCACGTCCATAAAATCCAAGTTCTATCTACGGGTTAACAAATCTTTAATTACTCTGCGAAGTATAGTTTTCTACCTACATAAATTGAATATGAAAATCATATCAGCGAAATGTATGATCTATTTAACAGGTCTTCTTATGAATTATAACATTTTAACTTTACGGCGCTCTTCAGTTTATGAAAACAAGGCTGAAAAATCAATTTGACTGAGAAAAAGTACTCATCAATTATAATATATTAGAATGAACGAAAATATTTTACTAATTTGTCCGGATAAAGTAACAGAAATAGAACTAAAAGATAATGGTTAGGAAACTATTTGAATCCCTATACTATTTCTGTTAAAATGCATTAACTAATCAACTCACTTTTAATATAGGTTTCTCTTATTCTGAAATTCTGTTGTCAGTGACAAGGGATTGAATTAGAAATGAGCAAAACTTGGATACCTTTTTAACGGAATCATTTGATTAAGCGAAACATTCGTGTTTATAAGCAGAGATGGATAGTGACTGACCAGTTGCAGTCCTAACACATCGATGGGAAGATTCAAACAAACAATACTAAATGAATTTATTCGTGTTTATAGTTATTTGATAAATATATGAGTCTATAGAAGAATAGAAAGAGATTACATGATAAAGTGATCCGACATTTGAAATGTCTAGAGAAGTTTGCATAACAATCGAGAGGTTACTGAACAATCGGAGAATGACAGTAACCACTTATACACTACTAAGGTGTTGGAAATTCAAAAACTCAGGCATGAACTCTACGTGCAACCTCTCATCCTTCCATGAGCCTGTACTTTTAAACCGTAACCAGTTATTATTATTATTATTATTCGCTTACAATTGTTCATGATTACTATTCACTTGTTATTATGTTCTTCACATTTGTTCTTCATGTCTGTTAAACAAACAGTTATCTCACGTATTTCTAACTGGTCAATTATTTCCCTCCTCCTATTCTTCTCCAACCTGTCGATCATTACACAACTTTCTTTTGATACTTCAAATGTCGAACCACTTTCATCATGTAATCTATTTCTATTGTTCTATAGACTCATATATTTATCAAATAACTATAAACACGAATATACAGCTAAATGAAATGATTTCATTGAAAAGAAAATTTCCTTTGATATTATTTATTAACACAATGGGTTACATTAATTAGCGTTAGATAAAACTTGAACTAAAACTTTTGACAGTTATTGACAGAATCATACCAATTCTAGGTATACAGTAACCTTAGCGATTATTAAATGATTTTGAGATAGATTGAAAGAAAAACCAAATCATTTATTTCGATAAAAACACCAGTGGTATACGTTAGAAACTGCAGTCAATGCATGTAAAATATTGAATTTATGTGACTACCTCATAGTATTAATAAACTACATAAATTTCTATGAAATTATCCCAAGCGATTATGAAGTTAAATTCCGTTAAATATTCAAGTACATAATAAATAAACAACTACATACGAGTACACAACGTTTACTATCAATAATCACCCATTAGAACGAATAATATTAGTTAAAATACATTACAGCCAAGAAAAAATCAATGTTGTAACCTGTCAACAAACGGTAAATATAAGCATGAGCTGTTTTTTCGGACAGTAAAATTTAGAGGGTTTTTTCTCAACCACTAATTAATAACACTGGCAACAAAAAAAGATAGAGAAGTTGCATTGAAAAACAATCTTGTTAATGAACACTTAAATAATCTACATTACGTAGTAAAATCTCAAATTATTAACAAGAGAACAGAAATATGAAAATATCTCTTAGTCAAGCAGTGAAAGCAAAACTGAAAATAACTGATAATTAATTATACATGTTAAGCGAAGATCATAGAGAATTTGATAGAAAGTATGAAAAAAGCATTCCCGTACATAATATATAAAAATAATAGTCAAAAGGTTAAAACCTGGTTAAGGCTTGTTGTTAAATATATTCGGAAAAGAAAATTTGCCTTCAAAAAAACTCCACACTCTCCTTGGGAAATAAGACGCGTTATAACATCAATAAATGATCCAGATCAAACGTGCAGCCTACAAAACAATAGGGCCTACAGTAAAAAGTATCTTTGTGGTTTCTGTATTGAAATCAGATCTTTTTATTAGGCAGAGCATATCAGATGTTCACTTGTAGATTATTCATAAAGATATTATACTTTGGCATGTCCTGTATGAATTCTACTTACATATGAGAGCCACACCTCACGTTAATACGACAAATACATACGTCGAGATGATTAGAATCAAAATCAGTAAAATGGAAAACTGGTTACGCGAAATATAATTCAACAGAACAATAGAGATATGTTGTTTCACTATAGAAAATGGGCAGTTATTAGATGAATTAAATTTTCCAACTCAACCACCTACACTTAAAATGTAAAGGCTAATACTATCCGGTTGCCCGAAATGAAGTAGGTAGAGTGAAGTTTGAACCTCGGGTTTAGTGGCTGAAAGTTGAACGCTTATAGTATAAAATCACCGTTCCACGTCAAATGAACTAATGGTCTATTTCTCATATTAATAAGTTACTTAAAAAATCTTAGTTGCTTCGCCACGTCACAATTATAACGGGAAATCGGACACAATAAACAATGATCAAAGAGAATAACTATAAACTAACATTTACATATTGTAAATAAAACAGATACAAATAATATCCATGAACGAAAGAAATACTATTTGTTTCATTTATCTCAGTGAACTCTAGAAACTCAACATACATTGGTACATTTAAATGTTTCTTTGTACGGCGATTGACCAAACATGAAAAAACTTGTTGAAAATTTAGTAAAGTGACAAAAACTTACCATTTTTTTCATCAGGAGTTTTCTTGCTTTCTTCAATGAAATTTGTTGGATTTTCGTTATCAATAGGTAAACGAGTGCAAACAGACTTTTTAGACTGTTCAGAATATCTAATATCACTTTTAATAGATGAACAAATGTGAAAGGGATTTGATTTTCCATTGCCTAGTGGATCGGAGAAACTCAGTGGAAGACTTTGACTTTTGGCTTCTGGTACGTTGATCAGTTCTGACCAACCCGTTTTTACAAAATCAGAATTCATCAAGGATTCATTCTGAGGAATGTCAAGAAGACTATCCAAAGCTGAATTATTCAAGATTTTTAACGAGGAAAAGCAAAATAGGCCTGTAACAGCGAGACAATGTTTCCTGTTTTACGAAGACGATAAAATAGATGTTTACTAAATTACAGCACAAAACCGAAACTATAAACAATCTACAAATGACCCTTTAAAACAAAAATTTCAAGTTAAAAACAAAATATATTGGACTTGTCACTACCAACAACTACATGTTTATCAACTAGTGGTGTGTTGAAACGAAATAGGCTATTAATGTGATACTTCTTCATAAGACATTTAATGAATTTAGTAATGGACGGCCGGGGCAAGAAACAAACTACTTGTTAGTAGGTGGACAAAGCGTTAGAAATTTCCATTATGTTAGTAAATTAAATATTTTCTGTGAACAATGAAATGTTATATGTGAGGGGAGGTTATTTAGCGATACATTCGTTCGCTCTGATAAGCTTTAAAACCAAATAACCAGTTGAAAACCCCTTACAGTGTAAAATATCGAAAAGTTTTCTATGCCAGTCCAGAGAATATAGCTATTCTTTTTAGAACAACGTAGGATGTGTTCGGAAGCTCTATCTGTTGAAACAGGCATAATATCAACACGAGATGAGAAGCAAATGAGAGGAATTAACTTCATCTGAGATGAAAATCGACAATCCAATAAACTGAAATTGAATCGTATCAACTATTCAACTACAGCTCCACAGAAAGATTACAAAAACACAAAATTCCGTTCAGCAAAAAAAGGAAGAACAAACAGTAATAACCAGCATGTGCAGGGTAAACAGAGTTTAGAGAAAATAGACGAAATAAAAACACGAATGGTTAAAATGTTTATTTTGTCATAACTTTACCTAAATAGATCATATCAAAGGTCATAATTGTTCACAAATAATTGTTTCAGACTTTTTTTAATTAACTATTGTATGTAATTACCGAACAACTATTGCAAGAACTAAACAAACTAAACAATGTATAGTTAAAAAGTTACAATATCACGCTTAAATAAACTCCTTCAGTTTAAAGTACATTTATGCTAAATGCTTAGAGTACTCAAAAAGTATTTACGATTGATATACGGAATTTTAAATTCTCACAGATGACAACATACAAATTGTAAAAGTAAACACTTCGTCAGTAACAATGTGAATTTAAATAAACCGTCGATTGGACAACTTAACACTTTTTCTAACAGTATTTAAAGTCAACACTACATTTGTTGCTAAATAGTGCAGTGTTGTTGTCTGTTTTAACACATTTAATCTTTATATGTCCTGTACTAAGTATAGGGCCTAACTCTAGATTTGAGATAGAAGCTAGAATTGGAGAAAGAATTTGAACTATGTCCACATTTTATAAAATACCACTAACCAAAAATTTAGAAACATTGATAATTAATACTTCGGTAAACTTCAGCTGAGTAGTTTTATAATATTTCTGTTGATATGTCTAGCAGTGATTTTACTCCAGGAACAGGTAGAGACATTTCTTAAAATTTACTAGTTCTGGGAATGTTGTCGTTCCTGATTCACTTTGTAGAACATGTGTTTTAATTAGTTTATTATTCAGCTGTTATACTATTTAAATGAAAACTTCCATGAACATAAATTGATAATAATTAATTTAGGGTTTTATTATTTCTAGTCTATCCTATGAAAGTTAACGGTAAAACCAAGTTTCGGGAATCAAGTATCTACGCCATTTAGCGGAATAACATATACAAAGCAATATCAATAAATGAGATGTCTTTTCGATTAAAACTCGTTGAAATATTTACAACATCTCATCTCACAATACTAGTTTTCTGGTGAGGATATGAGGTTGTTATTAATGTTATTTTGAGGTCACATTTTTAAAAATGCATATGAGTTTATAGTTTATAATAAGTGATGGGGCAATACTTTATGCTACAGTATTTGTTGTGATCAACTAGTATTCCATAGACTGAACACTAGTTGGAGAAAAAACACTGACTACAACCGAGATGTTCTGAGCCGTTGTTTTTCAAACGATTAGCATCCAGGCGGATTTACATATTATACAATCTCGGTAAATTCGAAAGTCTGACGGTAATATGTAAACTGCGAAATATTTTGTTTGACGACTAATGAACCTAGCCAACTGACAAGGTACTGATAGGTATATCGTTGAAAATCAAAAACCCCAAATACTAAGCCAAAATGTAAGCACATCTACAATACAATAGTTCATGTGTCTTGATTTTGATTGTAGCCCATTTGGTTTATCCTTACGATTTCAAACGAGTTGGTGAAAAACTTGAAAAACATTTCACTAATAGTAAATTTGAGGAGGCTACTTACTAAGGCTGTTTTTATTATCTATGAAACAGCATTGTTCATTAGTTTATTTTCGTTGTAAATCTGTGTTTTTCACAAATAGTGCATTTTATTCAAAAAAAAACAACAAGTAAATGATTCATAACCAACTTATAGTTAACAACTTAATAACAGAAAAGAAATTTCTACAAAGATTTAACTAAACAATAAACGACGTATAAATAACTTACAAACAAACAGGATATTCAATATATGAATTGGTAAATAAAGATGTTGATTTTCTATCAGCGTTAGTAATTTCACATCGAGGATAAGATGTAGCACAAGTTAAATGCTTAGCCAAATTAATACATCTCCATGCAGCGGTACTACTATTAGATAAACTTATGGTATCTACTACATGATTTGATTTTATAAAAGATGTATTTGAACTTTTAAAAGAATCACTGAGATAATTATTAGATTGAGATAAATACATTGAAGACGATAGTAAATCATCCCAGCTGGTAAACAGATTTTTAACAGCTTGGTTACTGATTTCATTAGAATATAAACGAGATTGAGAAATTAAATAAGGTTCTTTATATTCATGAGCAATATTTTCTATAAATGGATAACATGCGGAAGATTTCGGTAGAATTGTAGAATATAACTGACAATAAGAATTTCTGAAAGTAGAATAAAAAAAAAGAAAGAAAAAAATTAAAATATTCAAATCCTTTCATTGAGAAATACATTTATCTCAACTAAATGAAATTAATATTTGTGGTGTAGAATGAACAAGTAAAAAGTCTCTGACATTGTTCAATACTATAATTAATTCCCATTTGATCAATAATAGAAGACAACGAAACAAAAACAGATCTTAACAAATTTCTGATGATTTATTATTAACCCTTCCAAATTATTAACACGTCCAATCAGAACATAGTAATAGCTTGCACAATTTAGAAAGTAATTCAGTCATTGGTCTTGTTTTGAAGAGTTCTTAGGTATATGTTCACTGAAATAATTTATTGTGTGAAACATTGGGTAATATGAGTTTTGAAATATGATAAAATAGAAAAAAACGAAGTATCATTAGTTGCTTTGTGGCTTTCATTTTTATCTCTGACTGATTACTTGTTGTAAATCATGATATCTTGAATGAATAATTTTGCATACGAATAACTGTGTTAGTTTCTTGACATATTCAGTAAACCAGCCTATGGGTATGTTTCCTGACAAGTCATCAATGAGTTCCAATGCTCGATTATCAGTCCAGTTACTTTAATCATTTCAATAAGTTATAAATCAATTGTGATATCATGATAAAATACCAAGATTGAGGTTACCAGCAGGTTATGCAATGTCGATTTTGTAAGTGGTGAAAATTATTGATTATTTTGAATTCAATCAAATTTTAAAAAAATAGAATTCCAAATCTGAATATTTAAAATATCACCATATTTGACAAATTATTGAATTGTGCAAAAATATACTATGAGCCTATTTAATTTTTTTTTAAAAAGATTTAGGCCCAATTCATTTCAACAATATACTATTTTTCTTGGAATTATCGATCATTATAATCAATGTTCCACCATTTATACAATTCAGTATTATAAACTTTTAGCTTACGATACTTAAACATTGACGCAAAACACAATATGACTAAACAACACAGATATATGTGATTTAATTTACTACTATTAAAATTGTTGCATACAGAAATCTGTTTTAGATTAGATCTAATCAAAGTTAGACATTTATAAGCAAATATCCTTTGCTCTCAATTACAAGATAGTGAAGAGTAAAGCAATTGAAATACTATTATTCATGATAGAGAGAAACTAATTTCATAACTTTTGATGATGACATCTATGGAATAGATTGAGTTAACAGATAAAATAAGGTTAACATTATTCGTCAAAAAGTGACACTTATTATTTATACAGGTTTGTCATTTATTTTATGATTCACATTTAACCTACTGTCTAATTTCAACCATTAAATTAAACATAAAAGGTAAGTTTTTAACAGAGGATATAGACATCTGTCTAGAATTTAAAAGAAAAAAACACCCCACGAAAATTTTCATTTGCCGAGTTCAAATTTAGATAAATAGTTTTGAGTTCCACTTCTTTTTTGTGTATATAGTTTAAGTGAACCCTAATGAAATTGACTTAATGGTTTAAAAAAAAATAATAAAAAATTCTAAACAAACCCATGACTTCATAACGTGACTGAATTCGATATTCTGTTTAATATAATTGACCCATGGTTTCAACTATATAATATAAATTTGACCTTTAAAAGTACTAAAAACATTTGTCTGATATAAATTTTAATATTGTCATTATTACAAGTAAATTGCAAACTAAAAGAAATTTTACAAAACTAAATAAATAAACGATGGAATTTCATTTATTTGAATATTTATTTAAACACGTAAATATCGGTACAAAGGGGCACCAAATATGTATGCGCTACACAAAACAATGAGAATGGGAAGAGAAAAGGGTTAAGAAAATAAGAGTAATGATGGGGAAAATGAAATGTACAACCAGAAGAACTCTTTCAGTTAAGGAGGTTATGACCACTTTTTATAAAGAAAGTAAAAGAAAGTTACAGCAGGATCGCCACTAGCTTCTATTCTGAGCCATATCTGATGACGTCTCTAGCCACTGTGTCGCATCATCTCTTCGACTTCAGCCGGGGGGTCGTGAAGGATCAACAGAAACCAGCCCTTTGCAGCCTTCTTTCATACCACGATACCATGTCATACACTACTGACCACCTCACCAATTTTTCCAACCAGTCCCAGCGTCGGGAAATATTGCACGACGTAGAATTCTCTGGGACTGCATTCGTAGAACATGTCCAAGCCACTAAAAGGCAGTGAAAAGGACTTCCCTGGCAGAGGCTATATACGCGTCCAAAATATACTTACATATTGAACATTTCGTTAATGTTTGTGAGATATTGAAATCAAATGATACGCAAATGGTTTTATTTAGACGTAAATTTATTTTTTATCTTTAAATGAAGTAAGTAAATGAACACTTTAATAATCGAACACTCCAAATAAAACAACTCAAGTAGAAATTTCAGCTCTCGAACGTAACATTGGTTATACATTGGAGATAGATAGTAACCTTTTAGGACTGATTGATTAATGAGTAGGCATCGATGTTGTGTTTGTCAAAACCTTCTTAGTGTTGATCGAATTCTATCAACCAAGTTTTAATGTGTTCACTAGTCTAATTTACACTATTCTGAGATGTAGGATGGTGGTTTAAGATAGTTGACATGGTTTTCTGTAGACTACTTCCGACCATTATCACCTTACAGTAACTATCTTATAGCGCTACATCGATGATGAACATCTAGGTAGCTCAACATGTGAATATCTTTCAAACACGAAAATGACCCAATTTTTTTTATTTTAGAAAAGTACTTTAATCTAAATACGAATATTTTAAGGGAAGTATATGTTAGTGTTATTGAACATTCTTTTAGTACTGATCTCCACAAAGTTTATGTATTTATTTAACTTGCGAAAAAGTTGTAGAATGATAATCTAGTTTTCCTTGGACTCCAAAAATCCAATTAATACATATTAATATTTATGATAATAGAAAAGAAAAGAAAACTGACCGATCTGAAATTCCATATTTAAGTCTCCAAGCTTTAGAATCTAAAATTTTAAAAAATAAATGATAAAATCTTCTAATTTGTATTTACATTTTTTTTGTAACTGAAGCAATTCAAATAATTTTACAGCATTTACTTTAAAAAAACAAAGAATGAGACTGACAGGAAAAAGTTTAAAGCGATTAATCATGAGATTTAATTTGAATACAAAATTGTTTTTTAAAAATACATTAGTAAACTGACCAGGACGAACTGTAATGTAGGCCAAATCATGCACCATACCCAAGGAATTCTGAACTTTACACTCCACAATTGAATCTTCAGTAATGTTATGCTCCATTTCAACAACAATCTTTAAATCATAAAAAAGAGTTGTCATGAGATTTTAGTGAGCGAATAATTTTTGGACAAGATATTTATATAATATTTAGGGATGTGTACAATAATTCGATTACGTCTTGAATATTCTTTTCATTACCTCAAAAAAATAAGAACGCATTAACACCTGATGTAGATCCCTATCTACACCGTTTGTTTTTATATTTCAAAACTTAGAAAACTAAAATTCAATATAAAATGGGTTTTTTTTATTTTTAGATCATCTACGCAGTATGATCAAGTCAAGACATTACACTGCAACGCGACATTTGTCAATGAGAAAATCATATTACACTTTTCCTGAAAATACGTCTGGAAAGACACCTCAGTAGAATCAAACATTTAGCCAGAAATGAATTTACTAGAAAACAAATGTCCACTCATGTACATATTTAAACACTGGTTCTAAAAGTAGTGCATTTTTTTGAAACTACAAATATGTATGAGAGAAACAGATAAAACTATACAAACAATTTGTTTTCAAGTGAGAATGAATTCTGATTAAAAAAAATCGATTATACAGTATTGTAGTCTGTTTTCTGGAAATAGACACAATTCTTGCCGTCGCATTGTGGTAGAGATTTTCGTACTGAATAAATGGGACTTCTAATCAGAAATGAAAATATAATTTGAAACCGATGAAAATTAACTTCCTGGGTAGTGTAAACAATTAGGTTAGGTGTTTATTAACGAAACTGTGAAGTACATTGAATAAACACAATATTTGATACTTTCAGTATGGAGTTGTGGAGATTGTTGAATTTCACTGAAATCATGAAGCAATCAACGTTACTATTGAAAACCTGGAAGTACTGGACAGCCTTCTCATCCTAGTGCAGGACTCCTTGGCAATGAGTGTCCACGACCTTGCGACCCGGGATCGAACCAAGGACCTACGGTTTCATGCAAGAACGCCTAACCTCTGTGGTTATGTGACTCAAATCAGTTCATAATTTCAGTGAGACTCAACAAACTCCACAACCCCATACTGAAAATCACGATGTCCTGGCTAGTGGTTAGCTTTGAGAGACAAGTTCCGGAGTTCAAGTGAGAAGCCGTGACTAGTGAAACTAATCCGTGTCAGGTATGAGGCAGTTACCCACCAAAGACAATGGAAGATGATTGCTCAATGTCTTGGATTGATTGATGTCAGGCATTAACACCGTTGGATCCCGGCTCAGTGGTTTACACGTTTTGTTTACGCGCGAAGTCGAAGGGCCTGAACCCAATCACAGGACGCGGAGTCTTTAATGTACAGTGTCAAGGAGTTCCGTACAAGAATGAAACGGCCATCTAGTGCTTCAAGATTTTCAATGGTGGTGTAGTATCTGTTTTTATGTTAAGCCCATATACTTTATTCTAGCTTTTGGCCAAGCCAATTCACCTATACATTGAGTCATATTTTGATCTTATTCATTATTCGCTTATTAACCTTGACTATATTTTATATGAGCGTAATTGTGTGTACCCTTCGTATCCTATTCATCATATGTCTGTCATTCATTTTTGTCTGATTATAAATATTGAGTAATGCTTGCTTATAGCGAGTTGGCTTCCCAGCCATCTCCAGTACGCATTATCCTTCGCTTCGTTCTCGAGTTGGCTTCTCCGCCATCTCCACTGCATGTCATTTATGTTCTGCTCTCATCTATTTACTTCATCGTTCTGATTCCCTGGCCAGATCAATGAGTGTAGGAAATATATGTATTCTAAATCCATTCTCGTATTTGACTTATTTAATTCCGTTATTCACCAACGCGGATAAAGTCATTTATTACATACGAGGATAGACAGTACGTACGATCAAAAAGGAATCAGATTTAGGCCACTACAGTGGTCTAATTTAGATCAGTTCATGATTTTAATAAAATAATTGATAAGATGTATGTACACAAGATAAAAGTAAGTGAAAATATTATCTGGATTCAACATTGTGATTTACCTGATTGTTGAGTATCATTGTATCATCTCTCGGATCAGTCCCTCCAAAAATGCATGGGAATCTGTAGATAGACCCCCAGTCTACAGTAGTATTATGTACTGTCTCCGCAAGAAATGCTTTAACTGTTAAAAAAATACAAACAAGTCGAACTGCAAATAAACCTAAAAACTACAAAAGATTATGATATGTAATGAAACACATTAGAAGATCCCAAATGAGTAAGCAGAGATCAGTCTCTACTGACAACTTTAACAATCACCTTCTGTAAACAGACATCAAACTTACTGATTCACATTTCTAGCATGACAATGTATATTAACTGAGACTGTCGAGGAAAGTAATGAAACTAAGGTAGAAGCTTTCCTTAGAGGTACTTAAAATACGTGTCGTTGATGACCTAACAGTCAGATGCTTCAGTGTATGGAAAAGGTCCTTTCACATTACTTCTGAAATTTAAGCCTCCGAAACTGACAAGAATTCTCACTCTTTGTAACTTTTACAAAATAATCATTTTTGGTGAGTATAAACTCTGAGAGCAAGAAGATACTATCTGAACTGATAATCAGTGGAATAAAACTTACAATGAACTAAACGGATCACAGCTAATTTTCGAGGTGCATAACTGTCGGACATGCTAAGAACATGACTAGATCAACAAACATTGTGTATTACATTCGTTAGATTACTTATTTCACCTGGACTGAGAATAATCTTAAGACTGCGGAATTACAGGGATTAGTCAACTGTTTCCCTGTACTTGGACAGGGACAAACATAAATAACTAAGCTCCACGTGCGGGCATAGACACAGAAAGTATTAATCATATCGTATCCAGCTGGAATATTTCAATGCCCTGACAGTATCATACTATCATTTAACGAACTCCACGAATCAAAAAGAAGATACGTGGGAGTTTCGACAAAAAGACAGGATAAATATTACACAGTTTATTCATGATAAATACATTAATGTCGTCAAATTAATTAACAAAAACGGATGACATTAGTTATGAAACCTTTTTTTCAGCTAATGATTAAAATAATGGGACTTGTAGCCTAGATTATATATACCTTTTGTTAACTGAGTGGTATACAGATTCACTATTTTTCAAAATTAAGATACGCAGAAATTCCAGTTACTGCCAAAATTGATTGTTTTAAAGATGATGAAGTGGTTAAAAAATAAATTCGGATATTAAAAAGGGAATAAAAGGAGCAGAAAAAGTACTCTAAGAACTGAAAGTTCGACTATTTTACCCATTTTCTTGTATACAAATGCTCCAAGCCAGAATGTCCATTGAAGTACTGCTATCAAATGATTCTTGTTTTATATTTTGCCCCAATTCCTAACAGCCGCTGATATCTCAACAGAATAAATCGGATTAAATTCATCCAATTTTTTCAGTGCATGATTAAAAATGATTCAAAAGGTGGGTTCTAATTAAAGATCTAGATTTACTAGAAAGATCATAAATGACTACCATACACGTAAACAATATTGTACAAAAGAGAAAATAATTACTTAATACTAACAGATTACTTATCAGATGATCCTGAACAAACATAAATAGCACATACCTATTGGTACGAAATTGTACACAAAAATAAGTAATGAGTCTTGAGTGCCGTTCGGATAGGAATTGTACGAAAGACAGCTAAATATTCTATCTGCATTTTCCATTCGAATTCGAAAGTCTATACTTCCGTTAGAGTGCATAGTAACATTATGTGTAGCGAATTCCATAGGTTTTTCATTGTCGAGCCACTCATAAACACGGTATTTACTGTCCCCGATTCCACATGACAAAACAACACGGTCACCTATAGGTGCCGATATCAATTTGTGTTTTGGTTTTGGTGTTTCAGCACATGAAAACGAACGGAGATATACGAACACTGAAAAAAAAGTAAGAGAAAGCAACATAGCGATAAAGTTGGAGGCAGTTGACAATTAACTTCGACTTAATTACTTGCCGTTATGTTTTGAGTGTATGCAAAAAGTTGAAGAACTAAACATATTCAGAATTTAAAAACACTAGCCGTTAATTTTGAACGAAATGAACTGTAGTGTCGGTTGATATGTTAAGCCCATATACCTTATTCTAGCTTCTGGACAAGTCCATTTACTCATCCATCTTGAGTCACGTTTTGACCTTGTTAATTATTCACTTATCAATCCTGACTTTTTTTTAATGAGCGTATGTGTGTGTACAATTTTTATCTTATCATTACATGTCTGTAATTTACTTTTATCTGACTCTAAATATTGATTAACGCTTGATAAAAGCGAGTTGGCTTATCTGCCATCTCCAATGCGTGTCATATTCGCTCCATTCCTGTTTTCCTGTCCGGATCAATGGGTGTATAAGATATATGTATTCAAAATCCATTCTCGTATTTGACTTATTTAATTCCGTTATTCACCAACGCAGATTAAGTCATGTATTACATACAGGGATAGACAGGATGTATATTTTGACAACAATCATTCCTACGATCTAATTGGAGTCGGATTCTAGCCCCCACAAAAATGATGTCATGATGTCACGTCATAGGAGGATTGTGAACTGATATAAGTTGGAAGTAAATGAAATGTTGTCCAAACCCATTAATATGATGATTAGGCGCTTGAGGTAGAGCCTGAATTGTTATAACGGAACGAATGTTGTGAAAGTTGTAACTGGCTCATCGGATTATTATTAATTATAATTTTGTTCTATGATTACTGAGCAACTAGATTACTATGTATATATAATCTACATATCGTAAGCTTTCGATTGAGTCACTAATTACTGTTGTACAACTTATTATTCCTAATTTGTTCGCAGTCTATTTATAATCTCCTCTATTCAAAGCCACTTGTAGCTTGTTCATTTTTAATTATTTTTCATTATCTGGTGTGATACGGTCTGGTTTGTCTGTATATAAAACATCTGTTTGAGATAAAAAATAAAGAAGACGCTGGTTGCTGACTATTGGGCTCAAGGCTGGAGATAGAGAGAAAGTAGTAAATAGTGGAATAACAGGAGCCTAGCTGTCAGCCCAAAGCCGACAGTACTGGTCGGGCGTGTAATTCAGAGACACTAAGCCACATTGTAAATAATAGACCGAATTAGTAGCAATATTCTGATTGTTGATTCAGTACGTGATTTCGATCAGTGGTCACAAGATATAATATGAAGGTCCTGGGATATATTTTTGAGGGTCATGATTGTATACTTCTAAGTCCCATACCAGAACGAGAGAAGTACTCAGAACTCCACAGTTTTTAGTGGTACTCAAAGTGAGGTCAATTTGTGACGAACACTGCTAACAAATAAAAACAATCTCCATGAAACTCTTCAAAATTTATATACTTTGTACATCAATTAAATATATGGATCAAAACGACGAAGTACAAGCAAGCATTCAATGGACTGATAATCATAGGTATTCGGATGCTATAGTCTCAACTAACGCCCAAGAATCACCAACAGATAATAAAAAAGCTACGAACTACTGACATTAATTAATCACCTAAGGGATGTTTCTTACTACTTAGTGTCAAACATGTTAAACAAGAGTGATTTTTATCTTTCGAGGATAATCCACAATCTTACAAATAAAAATGGAAAATGCCTGTTATGACCTTTCAGAAAGAACAATTTCCCAGTATTATACCAAATAAAATTTTATCTATTTATTTAAACATACATTGGTATAAGGAGTCTCTCTCTCGCTATATATATATATACACCACACCGTCATTAGACTTGTGTGACGACTGGAATACTATCCGGGGGCCAAAACCAAAGCAGATGGTTTTCTTAGGCGGCCACTCCCTGAGACTTTAACCTGGAGGTCTAATCCACACGGCAGTGGAGCAACGTTAGGAAATGCAGTCTAATGGTAACTGATGACTAACAATAGGTTCATACGCTATTTGTTCCTTCAGGATCCAGAAGCCCATGTACACATTTGGTTTGGATTCAGGGTTTTACCCCAGGTGGACCCTCCGTGTCCACCAACCTGATTAAAGCGCCGTAAATTCGCTTTTCGTCCTCTCAATTTCGTAAACACTCCCAACGCGAGAAGGCAATGGCTGTATAGGCGTGGCCATATGAAAGCATTTTGGAAGGGAGAGCTGACTCTCCCCACAGCACCAGGGCATTTGGGGTCATCCAATAAGAAAATCTGGACGAAAGCCTATGGATTGATTTATCACTAGAAAAGTAGGTAAGAAGTATTAACATCAAGATCTCCTTTTTAAAGTCTACACATGATTACCAGAAATAACTTATAAAGCTTTCGGAGGCATGTATTATCTTCGTACTCTTTTTGGGCAAACAGTAACAATCCGTTATGTCCATTTGAGTTTGTTGCAACTAAACGACTAGTACTTCACTTAATTTCTGTCCCAGAACTTATCAGTGGCATTTTTTCTCTGGAAATTCATTTTAGCAACCAGGGATTTTGAAATATTCTTCAGAATAGTTCCAAATTTTTAGAAATGTTGTCAGTCGCATTGCTTTATTTACCGTTTGTTCTGAACTTTTTCTCTCTACCGTGTGTAATCATCGAGAAAAACTATTCAGCTTTCATCTGAAGTCACAACGTAGAACTTCGTACGTACGTACATCAGTTCGAGTTTCCAGACCAAGTCAATCAGCTACGACGCAAGACCCGGCACATATATGCATCGGTCCAAGTTGCCATACCTCATTAGCACAACAAGAAGAACATCAAATTCATATAGGCAGTTACTTCAACGGTAGTAAAAAATTACTTCATATAAGGATATGATACATGGAAAAAGAATTAGTTCGTAGGAATAAAGTAATTCCAATCTCACGGTTTAAAGGAAGACAAAGAGTGTATACACCTACGCCATTGTGATAAATTGTGAACCGTCACCAAGAGTCTCCGATCACTGGTTTCGATGGACGCGCGGACCCCAAGTAGTTTGCGTCTACCAACATGGATCAGATAGGAAGTTAATGACTTTATGGATTGATGCCACGTTTTAATTTGGCCGCCCCTTACTCTCTTTGAACCATCCCCAATATTATTCAGCATTGCGGGTCGTCGTAATGGGTGTTCAGGCATATGTAGCACGTGGCCCAACCATCTCAATCGAGGTAGATTCACAACCTCATCAACTGATTTACCATCATTCCCCAATATCCTGCGTCTAACCTTACTACTACTTACCCTGTGATCCCAGCAGATGCGAGCAATATTTCTAAGACATCTGTGGTCAAATACTAGTAACTTACGAGTATCTTCTACTCTTAATGGCCACGTTTCGCAGCCATAAAGTAGAACAGAACGCACTCTTGCGCAGTATACTTATCCCTTAATTGATAGACAGATATATCGCCTTCTCCACAGATCACGTAAGTTGATAAAAGCCAAACGATCTTTTTGAATCCGTGTAGAGATTTCGTCGGACACCAACCCATTAGGGCTGACCAGACGTCCAAGATAAGTGAGGTTGTCGGCGTGTTCGATCATTTCACTCCCGATCCTTAAATCAGGTGTTGACACAGGCCAGCCCTGAAGCAGCGATTTACATTAGCAGGGGATGAAACGCATCCCAAACATCCTGGCATTATTACTCAGTTCTAACAGAAGACTCTGCATTTTGCCAGCGTCTTCACCAAACAGGACTATGTCATCTGCGTATTCTAAGTCGATAAGTGGACCCCCTGGTAGATCAATTCCTGAAAATTCAGTCGAAGAGTTTTATTTCCAGCAATAGGTCTATAATGAAGTTAAACAAAAATGGGGATAGTGGACAGCCTTGCCGGACACCACTTGAGGTTATAAAATCAGATGGCAGTTCGCCATGAGCTTTGACTCAACTGGCACTGTTCGAGTAAAGAGCCCTCTTAAGACTTATGTACTTCTGAGTACACCTTTCAATGACAGACACTGCCACAGAACATCTCGGTCTACAGAGTCAAATACCGCTTTCAAGTCAAGGAAAACTACCATTGTCGGACGCCGATAAGCAGGTCTGTGTTTTAAAACCTGACTAATGATGAATAGGTGGTCGATGCAGCCACGACCAGGTCTGAAGCCAGTCTGGTTTTCTCATATTTTCAGTTCACGAGTCTTTGTTAGGCGTCCGATAATCGTTGAGGTCAGTATTTTAGACGTTATATTAGTCAAGCTACTTCCTTTTATGGTTATCATAGGATGATTTTGACCCCCTCTTATATATTAGGATAATCAGTGATTGGGACCAACCAGATGGGATAACATCCAGTTCCCAGATTTTGGCCAAAATATTAGTCAACTTAATCGCTAAAACTGGACCATCATCCTTAAAGACCTCTGTAGCCAATCCATCTGGACCAGCTTTTATTCCTCTCTTTAAATGAGCTATGGTTTTTTGAACCAGTTTCAGTGTTCCATTCAGATTGTTTGAAAATAACGGGGGGCTGTAGAGTAGCTGGAGACCAGCTGAACTGCTCTTTGAAGTTTTCCGCCCATCATTCTAAACATCTATACTGAGAGCAGATAAAAGTGCCATCTTTTTCGGCGATTGTGTCACTTAAAATTTTCTTATTAATTCCGGGTTTTTTTATTAGTCTGAAAAGCTGTTTTGTGTTAGCTATAGCCGCTGCTTTTTCCATCTCTTTTGATTTCGTTGCCCACCACTGCTTACGATCGTTTCGCAAACTTTTGGTCAACCTAGATCTTATTTGTTTTCGTTCTTCATAGTGTTCGTAGCCTAATGGAATAAGTTTACGAGAGTCTATCGGCGCAACAGATCTCTCAGTAATCTACTGGTTTTACACAACCTTTTAGTTCAAATCGCTAGTATATGACGCTGTTGTTTTCACAGCTGTTTGTATATCTTTCTAGGCGACATCTGGGTCAACCTCGTTTTCAGAACTGCCTAAGTGTGACTTCAGTTGTTCCTGGAATCTACTTTTGGCTTTTTCATCAATGAGTTAAACTCTAATGGGTTTCCTTAATGTAGCTTTTCTGTGTCCAGTGAGACGCAAGCGAGTGCATTCTTGTATTAGAGCATGATCAAAGCCTAAACATGTATCCCAAATCGACCGGCGGTCTTGTACAAGTGATTGATGGCAATGTGGTCCAGTTGAGTCCATCGGGAGAATTCTTTCAGTAGAATCCTTGAAAATTTTATATCACATGGTTTTAAACCAAAGCTGATACATATAGGTAAATATCAATAAAACTTAGTTGATAAAATCTTGTGTATCTAAACCTAACAAGAATCACAAAGGCAACGCGGACAAACACTCTAGATTCGAGAATCTGACTATAAAAGGTCACATAAATTTATACAAGTGACCATTCATATATATATAAACTTTTGCAGAGCAATCGATAAAAGTGACATGCACAAAATAATTAGTGAAAAGGTAAATGTTTGGATTTGTTTGAAATTCTTTCACAACTTCGGTGTTACTGTCTCAAGCATCACAGGAATAATATGTCACCCTCAATTAAGTGAACAGATACTTACTAGTAAACATAAAGAATGTGGACCACATCACTACTAAAATATATACACACTGTCATCATAACACAGAAATTTAATTCACCCGCGTAAAACAAGCATTATGTTAATCCGATGCACAAGTGAAACTTTCAATATCCAAGAGCTCTGTGGCAAGCCACTATAAGCTAGTTTATTTATCAGGCCTCGCTTTATGATGAAAAGTAGCGGTTTTCTATTTTTAGGTTGCTTCCAATGGGAATTTTCACTAGACACTCAATCGAAGTACTTCTAATGATATTTGTCTTCAGTAATAAGAATAGGAGGTATGTCGACCTATATTAATCCTTGCAGTTTGTAACATTATGGATGTTCGCTCTCGTGTTGAATATTTAGACAGAAGGTGTTGATATTACGTGTTCTGGTAGATAATTGATCACAATGCACTCCTCCTGTAGTAGTATTGGCCCTAACTACTTAGACCGTACACCAGCATATACTTAAATTGACTTTCTAAAACAAAGTAAAAATAATACTAAAATCCACACCCACACAATAAAGATCGTTTTCATATTTCTAAGCACAAGATACTTGTATTATTAATATTATTATTTCCTTTATTCTCAAGTAAAAGTTTGTTACATGAGGCATGGCAGTTTGCAGGCAATATCAAATCGTTCCAAAAGTTACAATTTTCACTGCAGCAAATTACTCAGCTGTGTTGATATTCTGTAAGAAATGAATGTAGATGGTTTTAGTAAGAAACGTAATGTCAATACCACAATTGATCATTATTATTATTATCCACAAACATCTTATGGTATATAAGTGTTTTTAGGAAATCATTTCGGGTTTCTTCAGAAATGCAAGAATACTCAAGTTTCAACAATGTTAGCATTACATTTGCCATGTTTGAGAAAGGAAAGAAAGGGAAAATCAAATATTAGTAATAGATTAGTAATAACAAATCAGTTTCTGTGTAATTGGTAAGAATTTTTAATTGATTTTTAAGGAGGAAAGGAAGAAACTAAGGAAATAGAAATAAAGGAGACGCGGAATACGTAAATAGATTAACACATAACAAGAATAAACAACTATGTATGCATCGAAAAGTGAGTAATAAAAATTAAAAAACAAAATAAATTAATAAGTAAATAACTTATTATTGTGGTAAGATATGGTGTTGAAATAAGGGCATGTGCAGTTATATTTTGGAGTGATGCTATGATAATAATAATTATTATTACGGGCCTTGATTAAAGAAATATTCATACTTACCACAAAACGTAAGAGAGCATAACATCACAAAGGGAGATAGGGTAGCGTTACTGACCAGCAAACATGATGGTGGGGAGATAACTTCAATCCACCCATATCTGCAGGGCAGAACATTTTGTTTAATTACGGTTCCTTGTGTCAAGTGGGATGTCACTAACAAACGGTATTGATCCTGATTTATTGATGCGAAACAACTTTTAAAATCGTGTTTAGAACGCTGAATCGGTTTCACTTCTTACCGAATAATAATAATAAACTAGACAATTTGCTAAAAACGAAGCCTGCTCAGTACACTATAAATTCTAAAAACAAAAAAATGGGCTCCACTAGCTTTGAAAAAGAAGGGAAACAGCCATTTGTGTATCAAAGTACTGTTTTCAGCACTATATTTTATAACTACAGATGATCTCATACTTTCAGCTTTTTTCTGAACCATCTTCATTTATACAGTTCCTTATCGACTCATACCTTGTTCACACTTATTTTTAGCATATTAGAATGGTCTTGCTTAATAAGTAATTTAATAACAGAAAATTTTCAACTAAGAAACAGACTAAGTATTCATACCTTAACTATTCCTCCATGAACATTGTCTACTCTGATTCTCGTCCATTCTTTTCCTCACGCCCTTTTTCAGCCCCTTTGAGATACACCACCGAAAACAGATATGGAGTGGATGACTCTGTCCTGCACCGTTATTAAAGCCTCAGATATTTTAGAGGGATAAAACGTTGTGGTTTCTAGAAACCCTTAACTTCACATGGATCTGTTCTCGACCATTAGTTGCATGTCGCAATGCAACCACCATAAAGAGCGCCAATTGTGGTATTGACATTACGTTTCTTACTAAAACCATCTACATTCATTTCTTACAGAATATCAACGCAGCTGAGTAATTTGCTGCAGTGAAAATTGTAACTTTTGGAACGATTTGATCTTGCCTGCAAACTGCCATGTCTCATGTAACAAACTTTCATTTGAGAATAAATTATTATTATTGTATAGAGAGTAAAATGTTAAGAAAACTAGCAACTGTTTTTTTCTTGTCTGCTTTTTTTCATCAATCGATGCCTGCCATAGATTTTTATTGTAAAAGTTTGAGTTAGCATGTTATAGGTAGTCTTAGTAGAATAGCTAATCCAGAATAAAATTAGAAACATAAGTCTGGAAGGTGAGCATAGAAAAACAGCCTTAATATCACAGATTGGTTGGCTTGTTCTCAACCATAAGGAGCCTGATACAAACAAAATGTTCTACCCCACAAACTTAGGTGGATTGAAGTCATCGCACACACAATCAATGCTTGCTGGTCGGTAACTCCACCCTCCCCTTTGTGATGTCAGTCTCGTTTAAGCATTTTGTGTATTACATCATAACTCACACAATGCTCTGTGTTTCACATCCTGTTGAAAAACACTATTTTTAGAAGTATCGTTTTACAAGCTAATCAGGCAGTTACAAATTAGGGACTGTGACTATGGATGGATGCAATGTTTTAATTGATTATACTATGAAGTATAGGTTGCCAATCAGAGTATAGGCATTAAGCATGGCGTAATGTAGGATAGCTGTTTACCAAAATAGGCGGAAATGTGTGGAAATATATTATTAAAGATAAGGTAACGAGTAGTGATGGGTAACATGTTCCATAGATGCAAGACCACTGGTAGCAGTAGGCAGTCGAATGTGCGGTTCTTTTGACTTTTTAGAACATTGGTGAGCGTCTCTTAGCGACCAACTATTGATAGGTCCAGTGAGTTACCTGTCTACTTCAATTTAAAAAAATTAGGGAGGGAAAAGTATCTAATACAACTACAAAGTAGGAAAATAAGGCAATTTAGTCAGTATATGTCTGCGTGGGACGTGGATGTGTTCGGTTGTGCTAGATCTTTGCAAGTGAGGGCTTCATCGATAAGTCTTACAAACCTATGTAATTTATCTGCCATGTGTATTTCAGAGGAAAGACCGTCCCATATTAATGCAGACTTGATGAAGAAGAAGTTTTCCCGAGTTTTCGATCTGTGTTTCTCAATTTTGTCCGTAGATACATTGTCTCGAAAGTTGTTTTCATGTGAGTCTTTGTAGGGAACTATATCGCATGTGTAATAAGTAAGGTTTTTGAGGAGTTTGAATTAGAGAATCAAGTTAGGCTTAAGCCTTCTTTTCCAGAGGGTTTCTAGTGCTTAGATATGGCATCGAGAACTGTAGCCAATGAGTGAGACGTTCTTAAGTATCTTTCTAGTGAAATCTCGTTGTATCCCCTCCACCTTAAGTATATCGGATAGGCGTAGGTTGGAAAATAAGAACAAGTATTATTCGGCGATAGGTCTTAAATGATTTTAGTTTCGTTTTGAAAGAAACTACGAAGAATAAAGCCAAGCAATCTCCCTATTTTAGATGCCTTAGTTGAGACATGTTCTGAGAAGTTCAGACTGTCTGAGTAATGTACGTCTAGGTCAGTTACTGATGTCAGTCTGGGCAGTGAATGTTTGCTAAGTGCTAGTTTTATGTTGAGAAACGTGTCTCCAATACATGGCCAGCCGCATTTCTCTGTGTTGAGCTCTAATCTTCAGTGTTTACACCAGTTGTCTACCATGTTGATTACATGTTGGATTGTTTACATAGTACTACGTACATCACAAATGTCAGTTTTAAAGATGACTTTTAAGTCATCAGTGTAACGGTAGGTTTTACCTATGGTAATGCACTTGCATCTATTGTTGATGTAGATTATAAAGAGCAATGGACCTAAGACATTACTCTGCACAACACCTCTGGTTATTGGTCAAGGTGTAGATGTTGTAGAGTGAATCTTAGTTATTTGGTATCTGTTTGTGAAGAAAGGCTTGATCCATTGCATTAGGGGGGTTAAGTAATTTTTTCTGGCAGTTGATTCCTCAATAAGTGCTATGGAACTTTATCAGTTTGGCTAGAGATTTGGCGACAGTCAATTGTGTAAATCATCAGTGTTAGCAGTCGATAATCATATGAATTGCACTCACTTTGTGGACTTATGAACATTCAGTCGGCAGAAGGCATCATACAGTACACAAGCTTTAAGGGTACTATGTTAGCTGTGTTGATTTCACATACTTAATTTCAAAGGGATTAATTTGTAGCTTGTGTTTGACCTAAGGCTCACAACTAGATTGTATCCACGATTGTTTCTATCTATCCATCTATAAACACGAATACGGATAACTGATCCACTGGTTAATCAGAACATTGCATTTGTGCCAGGACTCTAACGGCTAGACTTCTGTTAAACCAATTTTTCACACCGGTGCAATGTGACAAAACCTTATTTTATGCAAATAAAAGTTCTTATACTTTTTGTTGTACAACTAAAACCTACCACATATTTGACTTTTATATTTGATTATTATTAGTGTGAGCAGAAAACCCTTGTGTTATTAATACTTTAAGCTGCTAACCACAGACTAACACCACGAATTTCAGTGTGGCTTGTTGGGACACTTTGGTGCACTAACGCATTCTTTCATTTTTTCTCATATCTTAGTAACTTACGGTCAGCAAACATCATATGAGTGTGAGTTCTGCAATCAGTAGCTTTACACATCCACGCCCTTGAACCACCATCCCTCCAAGTGCCAGACCACGCATTTGACCATTAAACTGCACCAGCTCCTAATGGACTTCGCCGCAATATTTCCTTACATTGATCGATTAATGGCAAATAGAACGTATACCGTTGTAAGGAGCAAACCAACTCAGTTCCTGGGTGACTTTGAGGATTGGAGTCTTACTATAACCTATATACTTACATCAAGCCAATCAAATGATTATTCGGTAACATCCCCATTATGTCGCTGACCCTAAGAAGCC